TCCTTGTTATTTTGTTGGGGGGCGGGGTATTTTGTTGGGGGAGAATTATGGGTTATTACTTGATGTATGATCAAGATGGTGTGTGCTATAGATCTGCATCAAGTTTGATATTTTATAATAAAATTATGACTTTGAAAAAAAGTAAACACGGTCTGGAGTGTGGCTCAGTGGGTAGAGGGCGCTCACCTAACATGCTCTGAGCCCTGGGTCTGATCCCCAGCACTGCATAAACTGGGTGCTGTGGCACAAGCACAAATGCCTATTACCTCAGCATTTGAGAAGTAGAGACAGACGGATCAGAAGTTTGAGGACATCTCAGCTATGTATCAAGTTCAAGGCTACTGGAACTAACATGACATCCTGCAAAAAAAAAAAATGGGCGGGGGAAGAAAGGAAGGAAGGAAGGAAGGAAGGAAGGAAGGAAGGAAGGAAGGAAGGAAGGAATACAAATTGACTGGAATCCCAGAAGCTGGCCACTTCCCAGGAGTTGTTCAGCCACCAACCCTGGTCCTTGGCTTAGATTCTACTGGTAGCCTTTTCTTGTCTTGGTCTTCCTTCTACTGTTCAGCATCATGTATTATGGATTTCGCTCCCTTCCTGTCTCCCTCTCTGCCAAATGTAACTCCTTAAGTATAGAGATTAGAGCCTGTTCTGTTGCCCAATGGGTCTAATATGCTTGGCATGTAGCTACTTAATATGTATTTGTTGAATTGGTGTGTTGTAGATTTGAATACATAGGGGTTTGTTGGGGACACTGTTAAGAGGAAAAAAGCAAGAAAAAGCAGAGGCCTGGATGCAGGAAATTCCTATAGAGTACTAGAGTCCAGATCCAGGTCCGAGGGATGTGGTATATTTGAGTCTGGTCAGAGTGGACATCGAAGCACCCCATGGTTGGATTTAATGGTGGGGCATGGGGAGCAGTTTCCAGACCATACTTCCTCCTGGGCCTCAAGTGTCTCCTTAAATGTTAGATCCTTCCTAACAGGGGGCTAGGGCTCAAAGAGACCCAAGCTGTCCACAGGAGGTGCTCATGAAACAGCGTAGACATGTCTTCTGTCGCAAGGGACGATATCAATCAGAACAGCGAGTTTTCAACTGATCACCATAGGACCAAGACCTAAAGCCCTGGAACCCTCATTGTCAACAGTCATGAAAGTTATAAGAGTCTTGTTAGGTCACTAGACCCTCTTGAGAAGATTCGGATTCCAAACTAGCTTCTGGGATTTAGATAAAGGAAATGAAGGTAAGGGGGTAGGGAGGGACAGAGCAGCCAGGGAGCCAGTACAATGCTTTCTTGGAGCAGGTGTCTTCCAAAGCAACCTTGGTCAGGAATCATACCCCTGGGGGGAGTTGGTGATTAGCATTAACGTGGACCAGTGAGTCAGGGCCCTTTGAAGGTGCAGCTCTCCTCAACAAGTGTAGTCAATAGCCTTGTTTTTCTCCACACATTTTGCCCATAAACACATTGTGTCTTCTCTTCTTAGGAGTGCCACAGATGCTCAGTGCTATCCCCCCCACACACACACACTCCAGCCTGCTGTGGGCTTCAGCGCTCTGTGTTTGTCTTTACAAGAACCGCACACTGGAAATATTGGTCAAGACAACTCAAGAGTATACCAGCCTGTCAACTACACCCTTTTTCTTTTCTTTCCAAAGTGAAGAGATTGGGTACCCTAAATCTGACCGGCTTCCAGGAGCCTAGGCTACCACCCCCAACCCTTGCCTAATTACTCTCTACTTCCTGGAGTTGATCTTCCATTTTCCACCCCAGCCCCCTAGTTCACTCAGCCACCAGCCTGAGAGCCCCTCCAGTCAGGGCAGGCTGAATAGGTGGGGGCTGAGTTTCACCCACCAGTGTGTGTCACAAAGGATGTTCAGCCCTTTAGGAGAGAATGTAACTATCCAGAAATACCTTGGTTTGTTCTGTGTTGACTATTCAGGGGAGCAAATGCTTCCTGAACATTTGAATGTACAGGAAGATAAAAGGACATCAGAGTGGGCTGGGAGGGACATCCCTAAGCAAAGGAGTAGCACGTCACTTGTGGGGACCGAAAGGAAAACATTTGATTTTATTTTTATAATGGGAACTACTGACTTGAGTGTTCATAACTGACTCACCAGAAGTCCGCCCTGCTTCCATTGCCTGGGCCTCCACAGTGGGACTAAGTCCCTCTGGTGTGACTTGGCTGTTTGGGTGTGGCGATTAAGTCAGAATGTAGGCTTCATTGTCACCGCATTCTTGTGATGTGTGGCCATGGATGAAGAAAACAGCCATGTTTGATAAAACATTTCCAAGCTGATGTTCAAACCAGAAGCCCATCCAGGAGTCTGCTTGGAAGGCAGAGGAATGGACCCCACCACATGAAAGACTCCTCCAAAAGATACATCAAACACCAAGAGACTGAGTTTTCTTTCATCCCTAATAGTTCCCCTGCATCTACTTGTACGAGGCTAGGGATCTACCCTCCTCGGGTCACCAGTAATGGCCTGCAGTCTTGTTCCCAGGCTGTCTCTTTGACATGACCACTCTGGCCTGGCTATTGGCCACATCCCCAGGTGCAGTCAGGGTAAGGGCTGTGTCAGAGCTGCCTGCCATCTGTTAATGCATTTTATTATTATTTTTTGGATTCGAGGTGATGAGTCACCTGCTTCTCCTGCTGTTCTTGCTGCTGCCGAGGGTGATGTAGTTATCTGCTTTACTGGGAGATACGCTGGGAACACGCATCCTCTGCTAAGTCTGCGTCCATGATGAACAGTCTTTCCGGTACCACTGGAAAGGTGAAGGTGATGCGTCTGGCCGTGGCAGGAACAGGACAAAGACACAGGACATAATGTGACCCCTCCCCCTACTATTGGCCTGTCACAGATACAGCTGAGCCACTGACCGACCTCAGAAAGAGTGCTCAGTTGTGGGTTTGTTCTCTCATGCTAGCAGTCTCTTGGCGGGTGTCTTAGTTAGGGTTTCGTTGCTCCGAAGAGACACCATGACCAAGGCAACTCTTATAAAGGAAAACATTTGATTGAGGTTGGCTTACAGGTTCAGAGGTTTCAGTCCATTATCACCATTGTGGAAAGCATGGTAGCATCTGGGCAGACATGGTGTTGGAGAAGGAGCTGAGAGTTCTACATCTGAAGGCAGCCAGAGGAGACTGTCTTCTGCAGGCAGCCAGGAGGAAGGTCTCTTCCACACTGGGTAGAGGCCTGAACATAGGAGGCCTCAAAGCCCCCCTACACAGTGACACACTTCCTCCCACAAGGCCACACCTCCTTCAACAAGGCCACACCCCCTCCAATAAGGCCACGTCTCCTAATAGTGCCACTCCCTATAGCCACACATTCAAACCACCACATGGAGGTTGCTCATGCCGACCACTATGTTGTCCTAGAGGAGACACCTCAGATGACTATTGATTGGTTCAACAAATGATGAAAGTCTGTGACCACACAAACCAAGTGAGGACAGCCAACCAAAGGCCACCAAGTTGAATATGCAACTGGGCAGGTCCCACTAAACCAGAGCATCCCTGATGCCACAGGTGAGTTGGAGGGGACTCTTCCCCAGCTACATGCTATGTCTGAAGCAGAGGCACTTCTGAGGGAGCCTCCACGGTGGGCATCTGGGGCGGGGGGTCTTGGCTGCAATGGCTTGCAGGATACATGGTTTCCCAGGGAGATAACTGAAGATGAGACTGGTGTCTCTCTGCGCACTCCTGTCTGGTGGCGCAAGTCTTAGGCTAAAACACAACATGTCTGTCTCCACACAGTGTTTCACACAAATCAGCTTTTATTGTTCGTATCATTGTCTTTTGTCCGAGAAGAAAAAAGGAGAGTTTATTATTACGATGGGTCAAATCTCACTTTCATCGTGTCTCCTAGAAGATCCTAAAATATTCCTATGCTTCATGTGTCTTCCTTTTCCCCCACCACCCCCAAATTCTCAGCCAAATAGCAGCAGCAAACCCCAAACTCCAGGAGTTTCTCACTCCACTAAGCATGCTCTACTTCTCACTGGGGCATTCTAAAGCTTCGCCTCACCGAGCTGTGGGTGAGTGGGATTTTATTCTTACCATGGAGTAGGTGTGATTTTTTTTTTATAGGCTCCTAGATCGGAGCTGAATTATACACTTGTGGGTAAGTGGGATGCCTGTACTGGAGGGTCTAGGCTTAAGCCACCAGTCCCTTCTGCTGTGGTCACTAGGCAGATGACATGGCCAGCTGCACGGGCCTGCCCACATCAAAGCCATGTCCCAGCGGATGTTTCCCATCAGAGGAGCTGCTAACCTAGGCAGGATGGTAAATCTCACAAATGTTCAGGAATATCCTAGTCCAGAGTGATCTGTGTGGTGTGGGAGGTGTCTGGGGTAGGATGACTCTGTTCAGAGTAGTCATTGCTGTCACCAAGGGATAATGTGCTAGAAGGAACACCTGGAACTGCTGGTGTTGTCCCATGCACAAGATGCCCCTGTTGCTGAGGTAGTGACACTCTGAGATGCTCCAACAACTGCTAAACCCTGCCTTGTCTGTGAACTGAGGGTGTGGGGGCATGTACCAGTCAGTACCCAGGACATGTGGTGCTTGGGCTCCAAGGGGGACAGAGTGCCCAGAAGGTCTCGGTGTTCCTGACTCCAAATGGGGATTTGGCCGTCGAGGGGTGCAGATGACTTGTGGGTGTCTGGCTGAACCTGCAATACGGGAGAGCTTTGGCAAATGATCTGTATCCCCAGAAAAACAAGACTCTACAGTGCTAGTGACAGCTCTGGCTAAGGCGCATGGGGGCATTCCATACCAGTCAGCCAGCTGCACAGCACGGTCTCAACAGGGGCACAGGAAAGAAACCCCAATGAGCCGCCTTCCTTCTCCTACGGAGGACCTGACGCCCTGACACTGACCTTCCATGTTTGACATGGTTGAGAGAGACGCTGAGACTGGGGGATAAAACAATTTACCTGTGCCCAAGTAGGCCAAGGGGTTGTTAGTACAAACTTGTATAGCCGTGTAGCTGTGTGCATCTTAAAAACAGGGTGCTGCATATGTTACTTCCATTTTGGAAAGACTATGCACATAGACAGGTGCTACCAATAAGCTCCAACCATCAGTCCACGCAAAAGTAGCCCTGGCTAGTCTGTGGCTGTAGAGGCAATTTGTATGGGCTAGCTCTAGGACATTTCAGAAATGTTTCTGCTGGGGGATTTGTGACAGCAGAAGGTCGTTCTTCCCTTTGCTGCCACCTCATACCAACAGGGATCCTCAGGAATCTCTGCTGGTGTAGCTCGGGAAGGAGGCTGCATCCAAACACGGAATCAGCAGCCTGTCTCTCACAATATTGCAAAAATACCAGTGTCAGTGCCGTGATTCCTAAACCCTGGTTATTTGCTAGACTAGAATCCTCTCCGGGAAGAGTTTAATCTGGTGTCAAGTACAGAAAGGCAAAGTGTTGTCTTTGAGAGATCCAGAGTTCACTGCACTGACAGAAGATTCTGGAAGGAGACAGCGGTGGAAAGAAGATATCCTGGCCGCAGCCACAGTCTAGGGATGGATGTAGAACTTCCCTGTGGCTGCATTAGAAGTGTGGGGCTACAAGGGAGTTTTCCAGAGGGCTCTTCCCGTGTGTAGATTCGTCCCTGCTCTACAAACATTCTATACAGACAAGGCCCTAGGGTCTTCCCTGAACTGGGCTCGTGTGGCACTTGAAACCAAGGTTGTGTTGGAGGCTTCAGGCTGCCCAACATTCTCTTTGCTCAAAGACCTGGGGCCCCAGCCTGGTGAAGACAGCTCAGGGCCACCCCTCCCCCTCCTCCTGAGAGATGCCCAGCACAGATTTATGGAGGATACTGCACTCCTGCAGGGACTTGGTGAGGTCAGAGAAGCGTCTCCTGGGCACCTCCATTGTTTCAATGCTGCAGTGTTGGTAGGTGGCTTTGTTTCTCTGCTCGGCCACCTCGAGGACAGTCTGGAGGTCGTCACTAGGCCTGAAGTAGCGCACGAACCTTTGGCCTGAGGGTGACCTGACGGCCAGCAGCAGCCTCGGCTCTTCGTCCGATGGCTCCTCCATGTTTGAGGCCCTGGAGGAACTCTGTCTTTTGGTTTGGATGATGAATTTCTTCTCTAAGGCACAGACTTGTGTTCTGGAGTCTTCCTGGCTTGACTTCACAGTGGCGCGGGCTTCCTCTTGGTAAAGGGCCTGGACGCTGCTCAGCTGCAGGGAACTGGTCTTGCTGGAGACAGTGTCCACAGCCCCATCCTCCAAGCTCCTTCTGTTGATGGATGGGAGGACTGGGTACCTATTGAGAGATGAAGCGGTCCCTATGGGTGCCTGCGGCAGCAGCTCCGGCATCTCATCAGGAGTTCCCTGGGATGGAGAGACAGTTGCACAGACTCCTGGTTTCTGGTTGCCTGGCGACCCGGAGGAACATGGTGGAGGTGAGGTGGATAGCACACCGGAGGAGCCATCCCCCATGCCTTGTGGTCTGTGCAAATTCGGCCGCTTCCGGCCCTTGGCAGACTTGGGCCTGATGACGTGCATTCTGGGCTGCCAGGTGAAGCTGTCAGCTGCGGTGCTGACCACAGTGCTGCGTTCAGGTGGTGCAAAGTTCACAGGAGCTTCTATGGCCATTGCTTCTCAGGACCCCTAAGGAAGCAGGCAGAGACAGAGAACGCCATGGGTTAAGCTTCCTGAGACACTGGGGCTCACTCTTCTGCCATGTGCTGCTCACTGAGAGAGTAAGCATCCCTGGACCGGAGTGTGGGACCTATCTCTGGTTTTCTGACATGGGGGAGCAGCTGTGACTCATCCATTAAGGGCACTTGGAACACACATCAGTGATCCAAAGTCCTTGGAACTTAAATTCTTAAAGTGAGTGGAAACCACAGGTCTATAGATGCTTTCAATGAATGGTAAGTACTACGGAGATAAGAAAGGCCAGTGCTCACTCTCGTGGAGAAGGGCCTGCAGGCAGAAAGACCAGTCTGAGAAGGAATGAGCCATGTGACAAGCCAGAGTCAGGGTCAGACAACTTTCACCGTGAATGCATTTGTTTGCAATGACTGAGTTCTGACTGCTGCCCTGGGACATAACCAGCATGGTCACACACTCAACAGAGTGCACTGTGCTCTGGTAAAATCTGATTGGGCCCAAACCAGAAGAGTGTCCAGGAGACAGAAGGGCCCTGGGGAAGTCCTACAACAGGCAGAATGTACTGGGCTCCAGAGACCTCACTGGCTCCCAGGGAAGGAAGCCCCCTTGGGGAGTGGCCAACACAGACCTCAGAGGCAGAGACAGGAGTCTCAGAGGCAGACTGTGTTTGCTCAGAGAGGGGAAGGTAACCCTGTTAAGACTCTCTACAGGGCAACCAGGCTCAGCTCCACTCAATAGCAGGTGACTTCTCCAGACAAGAGACACTGTCTGCTTGACATCATTCACTATTGACATGCCACCCTCTGGGATTCCCATCGCCCCCCCCCCCCCCCCGACCCCCGCCATGGGCCTCCCTCAGCCCTACTCCCCTGGCTGCCTACACTTTGCCTTTACACACAGGTCACGTGGAACATGGCTCCCCAGCGTGGTCAGGGTTGAGAGAACAGGGACTGCTCTGATCACCTGCTAGAACTCACAGGGGTTGCTCAGGTTCTGGACAAGGAGTCCACAAGCCTCCACATGAAGACCTAGGGAGCATCTATTTTGACTTGTCTGTCTGTCTGTACTGTCTGTAGACATCAGGCAGCTCTGTCTCTGCAGGATAGTCCCGGGCAGGAGCAGATGGATGGCTGTGACCTCGTGTTGGTTGTAGGTCTGTCTTGTGTGCATCTGTTATTCTAGGTCAGTGCTGTGTACCTGTTGCTCTTCAACGGGTGTTGGTTGCTTTTGACCCTGCAATATGACATCATCCACAGGAGACCCTGCTGGAATTATAGGTGAACTGACACACCCACCGGGCATTTATATGGATTGTGGGGATTCAAATTCTGGCCCTTGGGCAAGTGCTATACCCACTGAGCCATCTCCGCAGCACCCGTTCACGGGTTAAAAGGCTCTGTGGCTGTCTCTATACAACCAAACCTTTCTCCACTCTCACCCTCTCTTTTCCATGCCCAATCTGGCTGCAGGCAGTTCAGAAACTTCTTCCTGGGCAGAAAGTTTTGACGATAGAAATGACTGCCCATTTCCTTGTTCATTTATTTTCTGATCAACTATAAAGAGTATTTTTTTTCCCTATGAGTTTTCTCGTTCCGAGTGGCAGGAGAAAGCCATAGCTGTCCAGCTGAGGTGAAGATTAACATCTAGCTAAGCTCCCATCCTTGTCACTTGGGAATGGCTATTAATTTGCCACAGCTTCTACAGAATTATCACAGGCTTGGCTTCCAACACCCACACATGCCTGGGGAAGGTTTGGCTGTCAGGAAGTTTGGTAACTTAGAAACCTCTCCCTAACAACTTTGATGAGAAAAGTCATGTGTTCTCCCAGGCCCTCTGCTGGGTTATTTTTAACAGTCAAACTTGAGTGTGTGCGTGTAGTTGCTATACCTTTTGGTACTCTATATAATTAGCCGTGTTCAGGGGGTGTCATATTCAAGACACCCTGGTCATAAGATAACATGACTGCAAGCTATCTCAAGAGAAAGAAAAAAAAAAAACCTCAATTATGACTAATTCGCATAAGCCCACTCATGGCTATTTAGAGACTAACACCTCCTTCAGGTAAAGCCGTTACACCCAACCTGCTTTTATAACCCACCACCTCCTACCCAGCACAGAGACCATCTGTTACACAGAGGGAACACCGCTCCAACCCCCACCCAGAACAAGGGCAGGATGCTGCAGGAAACAGGTGTTTGGAGAACTGCATCCATGGTGCCTTGATAGACACACCCTGGGTCCCAAACTCTGCCTTTGCCCTCAGTCCAGGCTCCTGCGACAGCATAATCCCTGCCTGGCTCATTTCACCACCTCTAGGGCCTGGCAGACACTCAACCACAAAGTGACTTGACAACATCTAGGCGTAGGCATCCATCACGCTGCTGCCAGGCAAGTGGCCTGTTTACTTAAACACAATAGCTAGGAGGAAGACGCCTGCTAGGAAGCAGGAAACAAAACGCTGGCCACCATTTCCAAGATGTTGCCAGAAGGGCAGGTGCCCATTCCTTAGGATTATCGCCCCACGAGCAGGAAGGAAGGGACATTGGGTAGAAATGAAATCAAGACGCCCGTTGTCTTACCAATGGTGCCCACAAGCCTCCACGGGGGTCAGACCATGATACTTTACAGCCCAAATCTAAACCTACAGCGAAAGCAGTAAAATACAACCTCCTACGAACCATCTGCTGGCATAATACCGGGACATGCACGTGCATTGGTCTTTTAAAAATGTTTATCAGTTACCAACACCCACTGCCGCCACCCCATAGTCCCCAGCCTGGTTTACAAAATTAAACTCTGTAAAGGAACCAACCCGGGGGATGGAGAGAGAGAGAGAAGATCGAAACCATTCGCTGCGCTACCCCAAACCAGAGATTAGAATGTGGGAAACCGCAAGCCACCAAGAGAGCGAAGCTTTACGAAGAGAACCGGGGTTGATTCCAGGATAGAAGGGCGGGCGAGGGGGTTGGGGAGAGGCCTCTATTTATTTTCGCTGTCTGGGTCTGGCAGGCCTGGAAGCAAAGCTTCAAGTGCAGAAGGAGGAGTGTCGGGGAATGGCAGAATGGGCTGGAACATGAATGCAGACCTGGGTAAAGGGCACGGAGCTGTGGGATGCTCCCTGCAGCTCTTGCCTCTGCACTTGACACGAACTCCCTTTTCTCTCTTGGGATCTGAGTCCAGGGATTGGCTTGTAGGCGCCCCTCCCAGGAGACCCCTTGGCTGCTGCAGACTCAGGCTCCAGCCAGGTTGGCTCTGCCCCTGGGGAAGGCTGCTCAAAAGTCCCGGCTCTCAGTTTCTGGGGACCCACAGCGGGGGGCCTCTCACCTCGCAGCTCAGCTCCATCCGCCTCCTGTGCCTGGCTGCGACCAGCTGGTAAACAGCCCCGTCTCCCTGGCAACCGCCAAGGGGTGGGGGGCCACGTGCTTCCGGTGGGACCGGAACCTGCCTGACCTGGACCGCAAGCTGAATTGGACTAGCTTGGGCACGGAGGACGGAGGGCTGAGGGCTACAGCCCGTGGTTCACGGATTCCAGGCTCAGGACCTTGGTGTGGCCCTGCCCCATGGAGGCCGCAGGGCCCTGGGCCTGGACCCCTGCCACCGGAACTCTTCTTCTTGACCTGGCCTGACTCTGTGTCTTCCGGGGAGTGTGCGTTCAGGAGGAAAGGGAGCCCTGCCCTGGGGTCCGGGGTAGGGACCAGGATCAAATCCCTGTCTATCCTTGGCCTGACTTTGTCAGTGTCCTCATTTTAAAACAAGGTTGTGCAACTCATTCCCGAGACCCTTAGAATCCGAGTGGTGATTTTTTTAGGGTATGTTGTCATGGGGGTTCCCACTCCAGGGCCACCATGTGATCACCACCCCCATCTCCTATTTCCTCCTTAAAGGTCTAACTATATACAGTCAGCAACTCCAGCCACGTCACCGCGTTTCCCAACAGCTTTGAGATTTGGAGGCCCGCAGCCTGACTGCTTTCTCAGAAGCTATGCTCCACTACCTCAGCCATTTTGTTGGTAAGAGTCCTCCTGGCCCTACTGTCATCCCGTCCATGTGATGGAGCCTTAGCTGGAATCTGACCACCCCACACCAAGCCATGACATGTCACATGTGGCCGTGAGGTCCTCAGCCCTCCCTGGTCAGCCTTCTGTTTCCTGCCCTCTCTGATGGCTATTTCAACTCCTATCTGTCCTCCAAAAACCTCCCACGTGCCGTCTTCCTCCCTCCCTGTGAGATGACAGTCTCCTGCCCTCTGCAGAGGAAAATAGAAACCATTGAATGGGAACCTTCTTGTTGTCTGCTGTCAGACCAGAGCTCCCGGCCTTTCTTTGCATGCTTGCTGTCTTGCCTCTGGTCTGCTGGAATGGGAAGAGGTTTGTCATCTGATTCCGTCCCATTAACTGCCTCTGTGGTGCTTCCCAACCATGGCCACACACACACACACACACACACACACACTCCCTAGGCTCAACACCTTGGCTTCTGTTGTCCCCTGACTTGAATAAAAATTCCTCCCTAGTCTAGCCTGTCCCTTCATTTGCCTAATTCCTCCCTGTCTTTGTTCCAATCTTAGAAAAATCGTCCTCCCAAGCAGGCGTTAAGATGACTTTAAAGCTGGACAGGAGTGACACACTCCTTTAATCCCAATACTCAGGAGGAAGAGGTAGACAGATCTCTAAATTCAAGGCCAGCCTGGTCTACAGAGCAAGTTTAAGGACAGTCATGACTACATAGGGAGGCCCCCATCTCAAATAAACAAAAAACAAAAAACAAAAAAACAAAAGACTGCTTTAAAAGGAGTTCTGTTGGATCCTGCTCTAGACAGAGCCTTAGAGTAATTTAGTGATTGAACTAGTAAAACCGAACTATTGAACTAATAGACCGTTAAGAACCACGGATGCATAACCTAACATTATGGCCACATCCTTGTTACCTGCTTTGTCCTGCGTGTGCAGGGATGGCATTTTGAGATGAGCATAATTCTAAGGCCTTTGTCAGCACAGTCACAGTTAGGTCAGAAAGACATATTGCTCATGGGTAGAGTTATAAATAGTACCGTTTTCAGTATTGTTTGAGCCATGGGTAGGACAGCTTGCTGGATGTGATCCCATACACTGTGATTGGTACCAATGGCACATTCTTTGGGAGCTGGCATGGAGGAGTGCATTTCTATTAGCCTATCTCAGAGAAGAAGCTGCAGGCCCTGGGAGAGCACCTGGCCGTGGATGGGAGCCTGGGCTAGGCTGACCTCCTTTCTGGGAATTCTGTCTCTAGCTATCCGGGAGGCATCTGTGGCCCCAGGAAGGTACAACTGGTACTTTCAGAAGCTGGTTGTTTTGAATCACAGAGTTGCCGGCTTGCATCTTGTTAATGATTCTGTCAGAAGTCTCCAGGTGATGCTCTCCAGCCCTTCAGCGCCCACTCAGAGAAGATTAAAGTAGCTCCTTTATCAGCTGTTTTCACATCACCTAAGAATTAGGCAGTCCTTTGAGAATCGACTTGGTTTCAATCCCTTGCTCCCCGACTGTGTGCGAGAGTGGTGTGTGTGCCCTTGCCAGGGCATGGCGAAATGCTGCTTACATCCGTGGTCTATTTCATGTTCATCAGCACATGAGTCTTTGTTCTCTGGTGTGGTGTGATGCAGCCCTGTTGGGGAAGAAGAGGCAGCCAGCTAGTCCCTGCCTTTATCTCCTGACCTGCACCACAGAGAGCAGCTTCAAAGAATGTCCCCTCTGATGCCGGTGCTGAACATGCACACACACGGGCTAGATTCTCGGAGGATGGCTGGAGGCTACCCTCCTGCCTGCTTATGTGTCAGCTCGTCTTCCTTTGTACCATGTCTCCTCTCCCCGGCTCTCTCCTGGGCTCTAGCCAGCTTGTTCCCCTTAGCGTTTTCATCTCGGGCGTCCTGTTTCTCCCTCTCCAAGGTGAAGCTAAGCTGCTTGATCCTTCTTAAAAGTCAGCTGTTCTGTGAAGGCTTTTCCTGAGCAACTGTGTCTCCCCAACCCCTCCCAATGGTCTATCTTAAGTCGTTTCTGATCTGTGATAACATGCCCAAGGTGGCACCATGTACCTTTCCTGGGTCAGCTCCTCAGATGTTTGTGAATCTCCTCCACAGAGACATCATCCATTGGGGCTTCTTTGCCTTTAAAAAACCAACTGAGTTCGGGGCCTTTTGCTGATGAATAGGAGAGCAGTTTGGGAACTTGGAACTAGCTGGTCTGACAGCCCACTGTGTACCACCCCCACTCTCAGTTCCCCTGTGGCACTTTACCTGGATCTGCCTGCTAGGCTGGCCATAGGACTTGTGGGCGTGGCCTCTGGAGTCAAGCAGCAGTTTGAATAGCACTTTCCCATGGGACACCTTGAGCATGCCTTTAACTTCTTCCCTAGAGTGGTTTGCACATCTATAGAATGGGCACTTCAGACTGATTGCTTTAGACCCGCTTGCTCTGAGAGTAAATGAGGTAATCCATTAACGGTCTTGGCCTGGCCCTGGCACAGGCAAGTACTTTGTTCGTCTTACCTGACAGTCTCCTTCAGTGTGATGATACATTGCCTAGGGGCAGGAACTTGCTCGTCCTCCCTCAGTCCCACACTTAGCCCTCACAAACCCTGCTTGTGGCAGACGCCCTGCAAATGAGAAATTGTTGGTGACATTGATTCTAAAGAAAGACCCACAAGCCACTAGTTAGCACCCCAAGGCTAACTAGTTTGGAATGTAAATGCCTTACCTTGGGCTGGCTGAAGGCAAGCCCTCCAGGTTTTGTGCTTTTGTTTTTTATTTATTTATTTTTTTCGTCCTGTTCCCAGAGAATCTGTAGGCCTATTTTGAACTGGTGACTTTTAGATTTCAGTCTGTAGCCAGTGTTTTTCTCTGTTGACTTTGATCCTGTCAGACTCATAGGTTGAGAGTGCAGGTAGCATTTAAGAAGAACGTGCATAATCTAGTCACAAAGCCAACAGGCTGCATGGCCATGCACAGCTCCGTAGAGGTCTCAGTTTCCTGAGAGACCCTCAACAGAGAAGTTTCTGGGTAATAAAATGGAGCCACCAAAGAGATACAGTGTTTCATTGCTTCCTGCATCTCTCTGGAACATATCCAATGGTGTCCTGACACTTCCTGTCTGGTTAAAGGGACTATATCAAACTGTCAGTCACGTTGGTCCCATGTTGACCAAGCGCTTTCACACCAGGAGTGACTGGAATCCTGCCGGCGCCACAGAAGACAAAGGTCATTGACTCCACTTCACAGATGGGAAGCTCGGGGTCCTGAAGCGTAGGTCCACTGACAGGAACTACTGGATCTGCTCTAGCTCTCTCATAGACTCAGAGTTCATCGCTTCCCACCATTGCTGCCTATTGCACAAATCCAAAGACAACAGCTGTGCTCAGGCAAAACCTTGTTGACCAAAGTCAAGGCCCATACGGGGCTCTTGGTCTATGCCTGGGCTCTGTTTATCTGTAGTCAGCTCCTCAGCCTCCTTTGGACCTTCCTTGGGATTTTCTCATTAGCTGAGTACACAGTTGGCGCTTCAGTTGCATTTCATTACCAGGAACGCACTCCAGGCCTCTTTGTATGTGGAGTCTCTTCACCTGCTGGTTCAAAAGCTGTAAGTCCTTTCTTTGTAGCCCAAACCTGGCCCTGGTTTTGTCAGGTTCCCGTGGAGACAGAACCTAATTAGAAAAGTTTGTGCAGCTGTTGAAATAATGATTGGGCAGGACCAGCCTGCCCAGGACCCCCCAGCTTCTCAGCATCCACCAATGTTGTGCTAAAGAAGGCAAGGTGGCTGGGACACCCAAGTGGACTCTCCCAGAGTTCTTGCCATAGGTCTGACGTTTTGACATTTTCCTGGGAAAGTTGACCACAGCTCCGCTGAGCTGTTGTACCTTCTTCAGGACCTATGCCAGTCAGATGTAGCCTGACATCTCACTGGGCTGGTGGCGAACACTTGGACTGGAAGTAAGCTGTGTGCTGGTGGTAGGGCCAGTCCGTGGAGGGGCAGTTGCCTGTATTCTCCCCCATTGACCCATGGGAAATGGGCCTTACAGTTTTCCCATCTCATTATGGTCCTAATGTGAATGTCACATCTATGTGTGAGTTTGGTTTTAGTCCCAAGTGTCTTTGTCATTTTCCAGCTGGTCCATACTGCAAGTCCATGGGAGTAGACCTCTATAGAAGTTTGCTCTTTCTCTGTGTACTTCTGTCATCTCTCTCCAGCCAGCTATATACCCACCCATCTTTCTCCCTCCCTCCCTCCCTCCCTCCCTCCCTCCCTCCCTTCCTTCCTTTCTTTTTCTTTCTTTCTTTTTTTTTTGAACAGGATCCTTCAAACTTGTTAGGTAGCCAGGGGATGACGTTGAACTTCTGATCCTCCTGCCTCCACTCCCAGAATGCTAGGATTATAGGTATAG